CAAGAAAAAATATCAAAGACTGACTACGGCACACTAAATATTTATTTTATTTTCTCCAATGAAAAAGTGTTTGTTAACATCGATTCTTTGGTCTCATGGTAATAAACTTATTGGTACTGAATACTCTTTGTGTCTTTGCTATCTGACTTTGTGGGTGTAGTTTTGGATAAAAGGACACGACATATATCTTTTATGGTTAACCTTTGTATCTTAATGCTCCCTGAAAACACAGACAGCGTACTACCATGTATCCCGTCATATCCTTTTGCTCCCTATAAATACAGATGGTGCATTACCATAAATGTTGCTTTCTGATTGGCTGAGCGCTCTTCTATTATTTTCAAGCGAGTAACATTTCAATGAACCCCGCCGTCAATGGCAACTCATTTGGTACTTCGTGGTAGTAATTCTTTATCTCGAATAATATTGAATCACGTATGATGAACGGAAATTACCGATGTTTGCGAATGCAAATCGATGGAAGGGAGATAACTCTAAATCTGTTTTTTTTGTCGGCGATGGATACAAAAAGATTTGTAACCGTGCTTAAAACAATTCAAAATTAACATTAAGGTGTTCGGTAAGATAAATACGTTGTTCACTGGTCTCTCGGGGCCAATGGGTTGATGTACACTCAATGTTTGTTTATATTCCCCTCGCCCCTCGGGCACAGGGATAATAAACAAACATCGAGGGTTCATCAGCCCATGTCCCCTTCGAGACCCGTGAACAACTTATAATATACCACCATATCCTACTGCTCCCTATAAATACAGATGGTGCATTACCACATATACCACCATATCCTACAGTTCCCCTTAAATACAGGTGGTACATTACCACATATACCACCATATCCTACAGTTCCCCGTAAATACAGGTGGTGCATTACCATATATGCCACCATATCCTACAGTTCCCCGTAAATACAGGTGGTGCATTATCATATATACCACCATATCCTTCAGTTCCCCTTAAATACAGGTGGTACATTACCACATATACCACCATATCCTACAGTTCCCCGTAAATACAGGTGGTGCATTACCATATATACCACCATATCCTACAGTTCCCCGTAAATACAGGTGGTGCATTACCATATATCCCGCCATCTTACAGTTCCCCGTAAATACAGGTGGTGCATTACCATATATATCACCATATCCTACAGTTCCCCGTCAATACAGGTGGTTCATTATCATATATATTCCGCAATATCCTACAGTTCCCCTTAAATACAGGTGGTACATTACCACATATACCACCATATCCTACAGTTCCCCGTAAACACAGGTGGTGCATTACCATATATATCACCATATCCTACAGTTCCCCGTCAATACAGGTGGTGCATTATCATATATTCCGCAATATCCTACAGTTCCCCTTAAATACAGGTGGTGCATTACCATATATACCACCATATCCTACAGTTCCCCGTAAATACAGGTGGTGCATTACCACATATACCACCATATCCTACAGTTCCCCGTAAATACAGGTGTCCATTACCACATATACCACCATATCCTACAGTTCCCCGTAAATACAGGTGGTGCATTAACATATATCCCGCCACATCCTACAGTTCCCCTTAAATACAGGTGGTGCATTACCATATATACCACCATATCCTACAGTTCCCCGTAAATACAGGTGGTGCATTACCACATATACCACCATATCCTACAGTTCTCCGTCAATACAGGTGGTGCATTACCATATATCCCGCCATATCCTACAGTTCCATGTAAATGCAGATGGTGCATAAACATATACAGTTCCCCGTATATACCACCCATATCCTACTAGTTCCCCGTAAATACAGGTGGTGCATTACCATCATATATACCACCATATCCTACAGTTCCCCGTAAATACAGGTGGTGCATTACCATATATCCTCGCCATATCCTACAGTTCCCTGTAAATACAGATGGTGCATTACCCATATACCACCATATCCTACAGTTCCCCGTGTAATACAGATGGTGCATTCATACCATATATACCGCCATATCCTACAGTTCCCCGTAAATACAGATGGTGCATTATCATATATACCACCATATCCTACAGTTCCCCGTAAATACAGATGGTGTACTACCATATATGCCCACCATATCCTACAGTTCCCGTCAATACAGATGGTGTACTACCATATATCCCGCCATATCCTACAGTTCCCCTGTAAATACAGATGGTGTACTACCATATATCGAGCCATATCCTACAGTTCCCCGTAAATACAGATGGTGTATTACCATATATACCGCCATATCCTACAGTTCCCCGTAAATACAGATGGTGTACTACCATATATACCCACCATATCCTACAGTTCCCCGTAAATACAGATGGTGTATTACCATATATACCACCATATCCTACAGTTCCCCGTAAATACAGATGGTGTACTACCATATATCGAGCCATATCCTACAGTTCCCCGTAAATACAGATGGTGCATTACCATATATCCCGCCATATCCTACAGTTCCCCGTAAATACAGATGGTGCATTACCATATATACCACCATATCCTACAGTTCCCCGTAAATACAGATGGTGCATTACCATATATACCCACCATATCCTACAGTTCCCCGTAAATACAGATGGTGCATTATATGTACCATATCCCACCATATCCTACAGTTCCCCGTAAATACAGATGGTGCATTACCATATATACCACCATATCCTACTGTTCCCCGTAAATACAGATGGTGTACTACCATATATCCCGCCATATCCTACAGTTCCCCGTAAATACAGATGGTGTACTACCATATATCCCGCCATATCCTACAGTTCCCCGTAAATACAGATGGTGTACTACCATATATACCGCCATATCCTACAGTTCCCCGTAAATACAGATGGTGTACTACCATATATCCCGCCATATCCTACAGTTCCCCGTAAATACAGATGGTGTACTACCATATATCGAGCCATATCCTACAGTTCCCTGTAAATACAGATGGTGTACTACCATATATACCGCCATATCCTACAGTTCCCCGTAAATACAGATGGTGTACTACCATATATACCGCCATATCCTACAGTTCCCCGTAAATACAGATGGTGTATTACCATATATCCCGCCATATCCTACAGTTCCCCGTAAATACAGATGTGCATTACAATGTATAGCGCCATATCCTACAGTTCCCCGTAAATACAGATGGTGTAATACCATATATCCCGCCATATCCTACAGTTCTCCCGTAAATACAGATGTGCATTACAATGTATACCGTCATATCCTACAGTTCCCCGTAAATACAGATGGTGTACTACCATATATCCCGCCATATCCTAGAGTTCCCCGTAAATACAGATGGTGTACTACCATATATCCCGCCATATCCTAGAGTTCCCCGTAAATACAGATGGTGTACTACCATATATCCCGCCATATCCTAGAGTTCCCCGTAAATACAGATGGTGTACTACCATATATCCCGCCATATCCTAGAGTTCCCCGTAAATACAGATGGTGTACTACCATATATACTACCATATCCTACAGTTCCCCGTAAATACAGAAAATCAGGAGAATAATCTACTGCACAAACCCTATATTAACACACCCGTATATAAATCAGGAGAATAATCTACTGCACAAACCCTATATTAACACACCCGTATATAAATCAGGAGAATAATCTACTGCACAAACCCTATATTAACACACCCGTATATAAATCAGGAGAATAATCTACTGCACAAACCCTATATTAACACACCCGTATATAAATCAGGAGAATAAATCTACTGCACAAACCCTATATTAACACACCCGTATATAAATCAGGAGAATAATCTACTGCACAAACCCTATATTAACACACCCGTATATAAATCAGGAGAATAATCTACTGCACAAACCTTATATTAACACACCCGTATATAAATCAGGAGAATAATCTACTGCACAAACCCTATATTAACACACCCGTATATAAATCAGGAGAATAATCTACTGCACAAACCCTATATTAACACACCCGTATATAAATCAGGAGAATAATCTACTGCACAAACCCTATATTAACACACCCGTATATAAATCAGGAGAATAAACTGCACACAAACCTTATATTAACACACCCGTATATAAATCAGGAGAATAATCTACTGCACAAACCCTATATTAACACACCCGTATATAAATCAGGAGAATAATCTACTGCACAAACCCTATATTAACACACCCGTATATAAATCAGGAGAATAATCTACTGCACAAACCCTATATTAACACACCCGTATATAAATCAGGAGAATAATCTACTGCACAAACCTTATATTAACACACCCGTATATAAATCAGGAGAATAATCTACTGCACAAACCCTATATTAACACACAAGTAGAACAGACATCACAATAATCTACTGTAAAAACTCTATATTAACACATCCGAATATAAGAATAATCTACTTCACAAGCATGTTACTAGCACAATCGCACATGCGGCAAGGGACTGTTATACTGCAGCATAAACAATGTAATATGTACGGGGAAAGACTATGTAAACGGTTAGGGCAAAGCTAGTGTTCGGGATTCAGTCAAGATTAGTTTTTAACAGAGCAAGTGAGATCTCAGCATCTGAAACATCACATGGAGGTACATCATTCCGCTGGTCCTGTAGCAATTATCACTGACTATCTAAGTAGGTTTTGTGATGGCCCCCATGCTGATAGCAGCATTCAGTGAAAGCAGGGGTTAATGCACACCCTTCTAGGAGATGATACTTCGCCCCGGGAAGATGAAAAGTGGTTACATAATAACACATGCAACCACATGTCTGGCGTAGATCATTATTGTGCATTATGTCTATGTGGTTATTTCCTAGTGAAATATGACTGGTCCGAAGGTAATGGACGACGTATATATATGACAGGGACATGGACGGTTTCAGTGTCCGCTTTCAGCCCCCATAAACTTGCACCGTGTTTACTGTTTTCACACAACTACTAACAGCCATGGATGATGATGTTGCTGCTTTGGTCTGTGACAACGGCTCCGGCATGTGCAAGGCCGGTTTCGCCGGTGACGACGCTCCCAGAGCTGTCTTCCCCTCCATCGTCGGCCGCCCAAGACATCAGGTACTACTGTTATGTTTAATAATACTATTGTAATGTATTGAACATATCTAAGTATATCTCTGTTATATCCAAAACCCGAACTGAAATGACAAACTCAAAGAATAAGTCTACGTGGTTTTACCTTCAAAAACATAATTTGATTTAGAACACTTAAAGTTTTTATTTCATAATACACTACTGCTGGTAAAACCTTTTTTGGCATATGTTTACAAGTTTTTATTTCTCTCTGTCTGTGCCTGTCTCCCTGTCACAGATGATCAGATTCACTCCAGTTGTTCTTTCATAATTCGTGATTATCATGACTCATGTGGCCAGACTTGCTGGACCCGTGAACATCCGGATTAGACTTGACCTTCAGTAAACCATGCTTGTCGTAAGTGGCGACTAACGGGATCGGGTGGTAAAGCGTAGATCGATGCTAATGCTGTTGATGACTGGATTATCTGGTCCAGACTCGAACATTTACAGACCACCGTCATATAGCTGGAATATTGCTGAGTGCGGCGTAAAACTAAACTCACTCACACTTGCTGACATGGTTGCTGAACAACAACCTCAACTCACATATAACAATGTATAGCTATGGAAGTATCAGCCTTTTCAGTATCAGAAGATGTCAGACAATTTCAAACTGCATTGTGACTTATTTGAATCATACCGTAACAATTGGAATAATGACCAAATGAATTCGTGTTTCAGGGCGTGATGGTCGGTATGGGTCAGAAAGACAGCTATGTTGGAGACGAGGCGCAGTCCAAGAGAGGTATCCTCACACTCAAGTACCCCATCGAGCACGGTATCGTCACCAACTGGGACGACATGGAGAAGATCTGGCATCACACCTTCTACAACGAGCTCCGTGTTGCACCCGAGGAACACCCCGTCCTCCTGACAGAGGCTCCCCTTAACCCCAAGGCCAACCGTGAAAAGATGACCCAGATCATGTTCGAGACCTTCAACTCTCCAGCTATGTATGTGGCCATCCAGGCTGTTCTGTCTCTGTACGCCTCTGGTCGTACCACGGGTATTGTTTTGGACTCTGGTGATGGTGTCACCCACACTGTACCCATCTATGAAGGTTACGCCCTTCCCCACGCCATCATGAGGTTGGATCTTGCCGGTCGTGACCTGACTGATTACCTCATGAAGATCCTCACTGAGCGTGGTTACTCCTTCACCACCACCGCTGAGAGAGAAATCGTCAGAGACATCAAGGAGAAGCTCTGTTACATCGCCCTTGATTTCGAGCAGGAAATGGCTACTGCTTCATCTTCTTCCTCCCTGGAGAAGAGCTACGAGTTGCCCGACGGTCAAGTCATCACCATTGGTAACGAGAGGTTCCGTTGTCCAGAGGCCCTCTTCCAGCCAGCCTTCTTGGGTATGGAAACTGTAGGTATTCACGAAACCACATTCAACTCCATTATGAGGTGCGATGTTGATATCCGTAAGGACTTGTACGCCAACACTGTTCTCTCAGGAGGTACCACCATGTTCCCTGGTATCGCCGACAGAATGCAGAAGGAGATCACATCTCTTGCCCCAAGCACAATGAAGATCAAGATCATCGCTCCCCCAGAGAGGAAATACTCCGTCTGGATCGGTGGCTCCATCCTTGCCTCTCTGTCCACCTTCCAGCAGATGTGGATCAGCAAGCAGGAGTACGATGAGTCCGGCCCATCCATTGTGCACAGGAAGTGCTTCTAAAAGGTTAATAGGTCTGGACACTTTCTGCGACATTCAGCTGAAGCGTGTAAATGTTATTAACTACAGCCTGTATGTACCAAGACAAAATTATCTGGCATGTAGAATAAATCATGTTTAAAATCTCTTCTTATGTTTCATGTGATGTGATGAAAGTCTTCCATTAAAATAGATAAATGCCCACAAACCTGACGGATAAAAACAAAATTATATATTTCGTGAGTGCGACGTGGTTAAGGCGTTCGCCCGTCACGCCGAACATCCGGGTTCGATTCCCCACATGGGTACAATATGTGAAGCCCATGTCCCCGCCGTGATGTTGCTGGAATATTGCTAAAAGCGGCGTAAAACCAAACATGAATTCAAAAGTTGACACCGCAGTGAATGCTTGATCATGGAGTATTTCCAATTCATTCCTTTCAATTGTAATCCGTGCTGAAATTACCGAATCTGTTCTAAGTATACTACTTTTGGGAACTTATCATTCTGGATATCAAGGGTGTGTATTTCAACAGTTTTACATGATCATATTACCACTACTAAAACCAAAGCTATTCTGTGTGAAATACTGGGTTCACACTGTTTTATTTTCACAAGTCGTTGACATTAAGGCTTCTAAGACCTCATTAAGCTTTAACCGATCAAGGCCTGGATAAGCAGTACATTGTTAGGCAAACATATTTGTTCCCATTGGGCCACCAGCTTAATTGCTTCCCTTCAACCTGTTCTTTTGACAAATGTGAGTAGGAGAAAAGGGCTTGAGAACAGAGTTTGAGTCGTTAAGCGTTTGCCTGTATGTTGTCATTCACACTGGGTTTTGTTGTTGTTTAGGTTATGCAATATATTATTACTCTTGTATTATTGACTGACGACATCACAACAAGCGAACGGTTTGCATCCGTGTATTATTTACAGTAGAGTTCTTGAATACATTGTTCCTTCTTTTAGTCAATAACCAAATCTATGTAGAAATGTCAGTGTTTACAACAGCTACATGAATAACAGGCATTTAACGAGGCCAGCAGCAGTTTTCCTCCATCGAACATAGGCTGGTGTGACAGATGGTGACTTCTATTCTCTGTCGGAATAGTGCAGTTGTTTTGACCATTTAACGAACTGGCACCTTTATGGAAGGCGGGTTTCGTTTAGACTTGTTATCTCTTGCCTACCCCGGGGGCGGTGGGGTAGCCTAGTGGTTAAAGCGTTCGCCCATCACGCCAATCACCCGGGTTCTATTCCCCACATGGGTTCAATGTTTGAAGCCCATTTCTGGTGTCCCCTGCTGTGATATTGCTGGAATATTGCTAACAGCGGCGGAAAACCCAACTCACTCACTCACTCTTGCCTACCCCGACTTCCTCCTACCAGAAGTCAGTTAGTTTCAATCTGGTACACTCCCTACGGACAACTGGGATTAAAAAAAACACATAACAGAACCTCTTTTTTCTGTATTGAATAGAGAATGTTTTCCGTATGTTCACATATCCATTACCAGACATGATGCTTCACACTGTACACACTACAAGCATACCGTTCATTGGAATGATATGTCAGGGGGTATGAGGTTAGGCATGGTACTCTTCCCCTCCTTTGTCTCAATCATCCTTGTATTGTAAATTTGACTGATATATCAAGAAATGATAAATCAATACTCTTCCAGAAAGATGACTGACTCTTTATGAAAATAACATGCTCACGCCACAGTCTTATTCCACTGAGTCGCGTATGCCTGGGCGTACACCCCAGGGTATAAACTTATCCAACCAGTGGACCACATTTGTCACATCCGTGTTAAGTTCAGCAAACGTCGGTCGAGAATGAAAAGAAAAAGGAAAAGAAAAGTGACAAGCATTACAAAAACTGTTGTGAAGCCCATTTCTGGTTTCCCCGCCGTGATATTGCTGAAATATTGCTGCGGCGTAAAACCCAACTCACTCACTCACTCTTAAAAAACACATAACAGAACCTCTTTTTTCTGTATTGAATAGAGAATGTTTTCCGTATGTTCACATATCCATTACCAGACATGATGCTTCACGCTGTACACACACTACAAGCATACCGTTCATTGGAATGATATGTCAGGGGTATGAGGTTAGGCATGGTACTCTTCCCTCCTTTGTCTCAATCATCCTTGTATTGTAAGAAATTTGACTGATATATCAGAAATAATAAATCAATACTCTTCCAGAAGATGACTGACTCTTTATGAAAATAACATGCTCACGCCACAGTCTTATTCCACTGGAGTCGCGTATGCCTGGGCGTACACCGGGGTATAAACTTATCCAACCAGTACTACATTTGTCACATCCGTGTTAAGTTCAGCAAACGTCGGTCGAGGAATGAAAGAAAAAAGGAAAAGAAAAGTGACAAGCATTACGAAAACTGTTGTGAAGCCCATTTCTGGTTTCCCTGCTGTGATATTGCTGGAATATTGCTAACAGCGGTGGTAAACCCAACTCACTCACTCACTCTTGCCTACTCGACTTCCTCCTACCAGAAGTCAGTTAGTTTCAATCTGGTACACTCCCTACGGACAACTGGGATTAAAAACACATAACAGAACCTCTTTCTGTGTATTGAATAGAGAATGTTTTCCGTATGTTCACATATCTTATCCATTAAGATGACATGATGCTTCACACTGTACACACTACAAGCATACCGTTCATTGGAATGATATGTCAGGGGGTATGAGGTTAGGCATGGTACTCTTCCTCCTTTGTCTCAATCATCCTTGTATTGTAGAATTTGACTGATATATCAAGAAATGATAAATCAATACTCTTCCAGAAAGATGACTGACTCTTTATATGAAAATAACATGCTCACGCCACAGTCTTATTCCACTGAGTCGCGTATGCCTGGGCGTACACCCCAGGGTATAAACTTATCCAACCAGTGGACCACATTTGTCACATCCGTGTTAAGTTCAGCAAACGTCGGTCGAGAATGAAAAGAAAAAGGAAAAGAAAAGTGTGTTGTGAAGCCCATTTCTGGTTTCCCCGCCGTGATATTGCTGAAATATTGCTAACAGCGGCGGAAAACCCAACTCACTCACTCACTCTTGCCTACCCCGACTTCCTCCTACCAGAAGTCAGTTAGTTTCAATCCGGTACACTCCCTACGGACAACTGGGATTAAAAAAAACACATAACAGAACCTCTTTTTTCTGTATTGAATAGAGAATGTTTTCCGTATGTTCACATATCCATTACCAGACATGATGCTTCACACTGTACACACTACAAGCATACCGTTCATTGGAATGATATGTCAGGGGGTATGAGGTTAGGCATGGTACTCTTCCCCTCCTTTGTCTCAATCATCCTTGTATTGTAAATTTGACTGATATATCAAGAAATGATAAATCAATACTCTTCCAGAAAGATGACTGACTCTTTATGAAAATAACATGCTCACGCCACAGTCTTATTCCACTGAGTCGCGTATGCCTGGGCGTACACCCCAGGGTATAAACTTATCCAACCAGTGGACCACATTTGTCACATCCGTGTTAAGTTCAGCAAACGTCGGTCGAGAATGAAAAGAAAAAGGAAAAGAAAAAGTGACAAGCATTACAAAAACTGTTGTGAAGCCCATTTCTGGTTTCCCCGCCGTGATATTGCTGGAATATTGCGGTGTAAAACCCAACTCACTCACTCACTTACAAAGAACTGTAATAAGACTGTTGTGGCTGAGTGGAGATGCTGCGTGTCGACATATTTCCTTGTAAACCTATATTCTATATGAACATAGGGAAATATAGCCCATAATGACTGTCTTTAAGAGTAACCAATGGTTGGAATGAGTGGCCATAACAAAATATTTCCATGTATTCATATTTGATGCATTGTATGTTTACAGTTTGATACAGATCTGGAATGAGTGGAAGAAGGTTTGTAAGTGATGCAAATGACAAATATTTCAAACATGACGAAATAGGACTGGGACTGTCTGTCAAACAACTTATCTCTTGAGTTTCTGGACGTTTCAAACATTTTGGACATACTTAATATTATTGACAGTGTTTGTGTACAGTGTGACCTGAATTTCTCATTACGCAAGTTGTACGCCAGAACGGCAAGAGAGTGCAATGGTGGTGATTTTAGGGTATTGAAGCTTTAAATTAACTACTGCTTTGTTTAGAATGTGACGTATGTGGCTATCAAATGTCCTTGGACATAAACGGTATTGGTTTGGTTCGTGTCTTATCACACGTAACTTTATGAAAGTATGCTATTTTTATCGGGAGCTTCTGTAACTTGCAATGGACGTCTTAAGACGATTCATACGGATATGTACGATTTATTCCACAACTAGTATGGATTGGATCATCTCAATTTGTGGTTAGGGTAAAATGTCTGTAATTATTAGGACTTCGGATTTCGGGAAGCGTCCATTACTTGGTCGGTTTGTTTTGTGGAGTTGTGAGTATTCGGGCTTTGTTTTTCACGTGATTTGTAGTCCCATGCAATTCCCCGATCTGAGTTGTTTTCGGGAACACAATCGAATTGTCATTCGATGATTTTAGATTTGTTTCGTGCCCAACCGGCGGGTATTGTTAACATTGTGCTGCGCCAAGAACTGCTGAACCTCCCTGGCGACATGAGGTCTGGCGTTGTCCTGCTAGAAGATCATTCCTGGACCATTCTGCTGGAGAAACGGTATGGCGACTCGATTAAAAATCTTAGAGCCGTTAAAATTTTCATTGATGACAAGCAAAGGCGTGCATCCAGCACTCGTTATCCCACCCCAAATCACCATTCCACCGCCGCCAAAACGCTCACCACGTCGCCGATATACTCGGCTTCGGCCATTAGTGGGGTGCAAGAGGAATCTGGACTCGTCAGTGAACAGGTTCAGGACACCCCTAGAAACAAGGATAATGGGTCATTCCGGTGATTATCCCTAAAAATAGGGATGGAACAAGCCCACCTTGGGCATAAAAACGTGCGTTGAGCTCGCTCGCGGTCTTCCACAACACTGGCGAGCAATGGTATGTTGACATTTTGCACCATGTGCGTGCACGTGAACACCGAGTTATCCAGAGAAACTGGGAATTTACCGCACCTTGGTCGACTGGTCCGAAACAAATATGACCTGCCCCGTCCATTTCATCCTTGTTTTTTTTTCCCTTGGATCCTATGCAACAACTGGATTATATTAAATAACATCTTCAATGGTCGGGGCGGTGGGGTAGCCCCGTGGTTCAAGCGTTCGCTCGTCACGCCCATGGCCCCGGTTCGCATCCCCACATGGGTACAATGTGTGATGGCCATTTGTGGTGTCTCCCGCCGTGATATTGCTGGACTATTGTTCCAAGCGGCGTACCACCATTCTCACTCACTCACTCTTCAATGTTCACATTTATCATTTTTTTTCTCACACCAATGCTATTTCCACACCCTCTGACACCGGATTGCCGACATTTGTAGTTCAATTTTTGAGCATTATGTCAGGGGTTTTATGGTCAATTTGGGCTTCCGTAGATTCTACTGACATCGAGGGGTGACTCATCATTACGTCCCTTTGGGGACGTTCGTGTGCGAGTCAAGTGCAACTTCCGGGTTACACGTGTGCAGAGGGGAGACATCGTTCCACTCGGTGAGTGACATGAATGTGCATAAAAGCATTTAATATGACTGTAGACGGGCATTAATGTGCAAAATGGCGAGGCAGGTCATATTTGTTTCGGACCAGTCGACCAAGGTGCGGTAAATTCCCAGTTTCTCTGGATAACTCGGTGTTCACGTGCACGCACGTGGTGCAAAATGTCAACATACCATTGCTCGCCAGTGTTGTGGAAGACCGCGAGCGAGCTCAACGCACGTTTTTATGCCCAAGGTGGGCTTGTTCCATCCCTATTTTTAGGGATAATCACCGGAATGACCCATTATCCTTGTTTCTAGGGGTGTCCTGAACCTGGTGAAGAGAGCATGTTTACACTCACGTGCTCTAGACCGCAGATGTTGTTTGCACCACTAGAGTCGTAGACGCTGGTGACGTAATGTCAAAATTCGTCGTCTGGCAGGACGTCTAGCACGTATCCCGTGTGCAGCCAGACGCCAGCGAATGGTCCTTGGCGATATTTTGTCGACATCAGGAACTGCAACGACGGCATTTAGTTGATAACGTCTCCACAATAGGTATATGGTGGTCCTGTGGACGTTTAACTGCTGTACGACGTACGGTACGTGTTCCGGTTTCAAGCATTCCAATGGCTCGCAATCTTTCATTTTCGGTTAGCCGTTGCATAGAGAAATACAAGCAGATTATTCCTAATTTGTGTTTTTCGGACCCGTCGACATCTGAACAGTGATTTGGGTCACAACGATTCGAGGTTAAGAGCCACACTTTTTAAAGGGCACGTTTTATGCTTTTTTTCAACGGACTTCTTGAAAGCACGAAAAACACAAGCAAAACTAAAAACAACCGCCAGGGCCCTATTTGGGTTATGTATTAATTGTATTATAAAGAATATTAAAATGCGTTATAAAAATGTTCTCATTTATTAACACATTAACTTTTGACCTTGAGTACATACATTATGATCATGGAAATGATATTGTTGAACATTAGATATAAACATGATTGCACGTTTATCCGGTCCTATCCATTATGGTTCAGCTGGTTGAACAAGAAAAGCCACACAAACATCACCCCAGATGTAATGGAAAACCCGTATGTCTGATGTTTAACATGAACTCGCACAGATAAATGTGATAATTAACAAAAGACCAAAGAAACAGACCAAAGCTGGTGTAAGCGATTAAAAATAGATGTTGCATGGTTTCAGTGCTGCCGGGTTTCAGTGAGGGTGCAGCATAGTTTCAGTGAGGGTGCTGCATAGTTTCAGTGAGGGTGCAACATAGTTTCAGTGAGGGTGCTGCATAGTTTCAGTGAGGGTGCTGAATAGTTTCAGTGTGGGTGCTGCATAGTTTCAGTGAGGGTGCTGCATAGTTTCAGTGAGGGTGCAGCACAGTTTCAGTGAGGGTGCTGCATAGTTTCAGTGAGGGTGCTGCATAGTTTCAGTGAGGGTGCTGCATAGTTTCAGTGAGGGTGCTGCATAGTTTCAGTGAGGGTGCTGCATAGTTTTAGTGAGGGTGCTGCATAGTTTCAGTGAGGGTGCTGCATAGTTTCAGTGAGGGTGCTGCATAGTTTCAGTGAGGGTGCTGCATAGTTTCAGTGTGGGTGCTGCATAGTTTCAGTGTGGGTGCTGCATAGTTTCAGTGAAGTGGTGCATAGTTTCAGTGAAGTGGTGCATAGTTTCAGTGAAGTGATGCATAGTTTCAGTGAAGTGGTGCATAGTTTCAGTGTGGGTGCTGCATAGTTTCAGTGAGGGTGCTGCAGAGTTTCAGTGAAGTGGTGCATAGTTTCAGTGAAGTGGTGCATAGTTTCAGTGAAGTGGTGCATAGTTTCAGTGAAGTGGTGCATAGTTTCAGTGAAGTGGTGTATAGTTTCAGTGAAGTGGTGCATAGTTTCAGTGAAGTGGTGCATAGTTTCAGTGTGGGTGCTGCATAGTTTCAGTGTGGGTGCTGCATAGTTTCAGTGAAGTGGTGTATAGTTTCAGTGAAGTGGTGCATAGTTTTCAGTGAGGTGGTGCATAGTTTTAGAGGGTGTAGCAGTAGTTTCAGTGAAGTGGTGCATAGTTTCAGTGAAGTGTTGCATAGTTTCAGTGAGGGTGCTGCATAGTTTCAGTGAGGGTGCAGCAGAGTTTCAGTGAAGTGGTGCATAGTTTCAGTGAGGGTGCAGCATAGTTTCAGTGAAGTGGTGCATAGTTTCAGTGAAGTGGAGCATAGTTTCAGTGTGGGTGCTGCATAGTTTTAGTGTGGGTGCTGCATAGTTTCAGTGAAGTGGTGCATAGTTTCAGTGAGGGTGCTGCATAGTTTCAGTGAGGGTGCTGCATAGTTTCAGTGTGGGTGCTGCATAGTTTCAGTGAAGTGGTGCATAGTTTCAGTGAAGTGGTGCATAGCTTCAGTGAGGATGGTGCATAGTATCAGTGAGGGTGCTGCAGAGTTTCAGTGAGGGTGCTGCAGAGTTTCATTGAGGGTGCTGCATAGTTTCAGTGAGGGTGCTGCAGAGTTTCAGTGAGGGTGCTGCATAGTTTCAGTGAGGGTGCTGCATAGTTTCAGTGAGGGTGCTGCAGAGTTTCATTGAGGGTGCTGCATAGTTTCAGTGAGGTGCTGCAGAGTTTCATTGAGGGTGCTGCATAGTTTCAGTGAGGGTGCTGCATAGTTTCAGTGAGGGTGCTGCATAGTTTCAGCATAGTTTCAGTGAGGGTGCTGCATAGTTTCAGTGAGGGTGCTGCATAGTTTCAGTGAGGGTGCTGCATAGTTTCAGTGAGGGTGCTGCATAGTTTCAGTGAGGGTGCTGCATAGTTTCATTGAGGGTGCTGCATAGTTTCAGTGAGGGTGCTGCAGAGTTTTCATTGAAGTGCTGCATAGTTTCAGTGAGGGTGCTGCAGCATAGTTTCAGTGTGGGTGCTGCATACCGTTTCAGTGAGGTGCTGCAGAGTTTCAGTGAGGAGTGTGCTGCATAGTTTCAGTGAGGGTGCTGCATAGTTTCAGTGAAGGGTGGTGCATAGTTTCAGTGAAGTGGTGCATAGTTTCAGTGTAGTTGCAGTGCATAGTTTCTGTGAAGTGGTGCATAGTTTCAGTGAAGTGGTGCATAGTTTCAGTGTGGGTGCTGCATAGTTTCAGTGAAGTGGTGCATAGTTTCAGTGAAGTGGTGCATAGTTTCAGTGAGTGGTGGTGCATAGTTTCAGTGTGGGTGGTGCATAGTTTCAGTGTGGTGGTGCATAGTTTCAGTGAGGGTGCTGCATAGATGTGAAGGGTGCATAGTTTCAGTGAAGTGGTGCATAGTTTCAGTGAAGTGGTGCATAGTTTCAGTGAAGTGGGTGCTGCATAGTTTCAGTGAAGTGGTGCATAGCTTCAGAGGTGCATAGTTTCAGTGAAGGGTGCATAGCAGTGAGGGGTGCTGCATAGTTTCAGTGAAGTGGTGCTGCATAGTTTCATTGATGGGTGCTGCATAGTTTCAGTGAGGGTGCTGCATAGTTTCAGTGAAGTGGCTGCAGTTTAGTGCAAAGGGTGCTGCATAGTGAGGGTGCTGCATAGTTTCAGTGAGGGTGCTGCATAGTTTCAGTGAGGGTGCTGCATAGTTTCATGGTGAGGGTGGTGCATAGTTTCAGTGAGGGTGCTGCATAGTTTCAGTGAGGTGCTGCATAGTTTCAGTGAGGGTGCTGCATAGTTTCAGTGAGGGTGAGCATAGGTCAGTGAGGGTGCTGCATAGTTTCAGTGTGAGGGTGCTGCATAGTTTCAGTGAAGTGCTGCATAGTTTCAGTGAAGTGGCATAGCCAGTGCAGAGTTTCAGTGTGGTGCTGCATAGTTTCAGTGCATAGTTTCAGGGTGCTGCATAGTTTCAGTGAAGTGCTGCATAGTTTCAGTGGGTGGTGCATAGTGCTTCAGTGAGGGTGCTGCATAGTTTCAGTGTGGGTGCTGCATAGTTTCAGTGAGGGTGCTGCATAGTTTCAGTGAAGTGGTGCATAGTTTCAGTGAAGTGGTGCATAGTTTCAGTGTGGGTGCTGCATAGTTTCAGTGAAGTGGTGCATAGTTTCAGTGAAGTGGTGCATAGTTTCAGTGTGGGTGCTGCATAGTTTCAGTGAAGTGGTGCATAGTTTCAGTGAAGTGGTGTATAGTTTCAGTGAAGTGGTGCATAGTTTCAGTGTGGGTGCTGCATAGTTTCAGTGAGGGTGCAGCAGAGTTTCAGTGAAGTGGTGCATAGTTTCTGTGAAGTGGTGCATAGTTTCAGTGAAGTGGTGCATAGTTTCAGTGAAGTGGTGCATAGTTTCAGTGTGGGTGCTGCATAGTTTCAGTGAAGTGGTGCATAGTTTCAGTGAAGTGGTGCATAGTTTCAGTGAGGGTGGTGCATAGTTTCAGTGAGGGTGCTGCATAGTTTCAGTGAAGTGGTGCATAGTTTCAGTGAAGTGGTGCATAGTTTCAGTGTGGGTGCTGCAGTCAGTGAGGGTGCTGCATAGCTTCAGTGAAGTGGTGCATAGTTTCAGTGTGGGTGCTGCATAGTTTCAGTGAGGGTGCAGCATAGTTTCAGTGAAGTGGTGCATAGTTTCAGTGAAGTGGTGCATAGTTTCAGTGAAGTGGTGCATAGTTTCAGTGAGGGTGCTGCATAGTTTCAGTGAAGTGGTGCATAGTTTCAGTGAAGTGGTGCATAGTTTCAGTGTGGGTGCTGCATAGTTTCAGTGAGGGTGCTGCATAGCTCAGTGAAGTGGTGAAGTGCTGCATAGTTTCAGTGAGGGTGCTGCATAGTTTCAGTGAAGTGCAGCTCAGTGAGTGCTCATAGTTTCAGTGAAGGGTGCATGCATAGTTTCAGTGAAGTGGTGCATAGTTTCTGTGAAGTGGTGCATAGTTTTAGTGAAGTGGTGTATAGTTTCAGTGAAGTGCTGCATAGCTTCAGTGAAGTGGTGCATAGTTTTAGTGTGGGTGCTGCATAGTTTCAGTGAGGGTGCAGCATAGTTTCAGTGAAGTGGTGCATAGTTTCAGTGAAGTGGAGCATAGTTTCAGTGTGGGTGCTGCATAGTTTCAGTGTGGGTGCTGCATAGTTTCAGTGAAGTGGTGCATAGTTTCAGTGTGGGTGCTGCATAGTTTCAGTGTGGGTGCTGCATAGTTTCAGTGTGGGTGCTGCATAGTTTCAGTGAAGTGGTGCATAGTTTCAGTGAGGATGGTGCATAGTATCAGTGAGGGTGCTGCATAGCTTCAGTGAAGTGGTGCATAGTTTCAGTGAGGGTGCTGCATAGTTTCAGTGTGGGTGCTGCATAGTTTCAGTGAAGTGGTGCAGAGTTTCATTGAGGGTGCTGCATAGTTTCAGTGAAGTGGTGCATAGTTTCAGTGAGGGTGGTGCAAAGTTTCAGTGAAGTGGTGTATACTTTCAGTGAAGTGGTGCATAGTTTCAGTGAGGCTGCTGCATAGTTTCAGTGTGGGTGCTGCATAGTTTCAGTGAAGAGGTGCATAGTTTCAGTGAGGGTGGTGCAAAGTTTCAGTGAGGGTGCTGCATAGTTTCAGTGAGGGTGCAGCAAAGTTTCAGTGAAGTGGTGCATAGTTTCTGTGAAGTGGTGCATAGTTTTAGTGAAGTGGTGTATAGTTTCAGTGAAGTGGTGCATAGTTTCAGTGAAGTGGTGCATAGTTTCAGTGAGGGTGCTGTGTGCTATTAGTGAAGTGATGCATAGTTTCAGTGAAGTGATGCATAGTTTCAGTGATGTGGTGCATAGTTTCAGTGAGTGTGCTGCATAGTTTCAAGATTTTAGTTAGTTCTACTGTGTTTCAGTGAAATGCTGAATGTGAAATTTTCAGTTAAATATTTCTTCCACATTAAGGTGACCTAAAACCAAGAAATATAATGTTCAAGCAATAAAACGGATTGAGATCAAGGTGTACGCTCTGAAGAAGTCCTTACTGGACCAACTGTAGTCACAAATACTGTGCTGATATATACTACTCAAAACAAGTTACGGGTCATGCGGTGTCATCATGCAATGTTATTGATGTGGCTGGTTGCATTATATATGAATGAAATTTTACATTCCATGTATGGTAGTTTATTCAAAACCATTGCAGACTGACTGACTGACTGAGTTTGGTTTTACGCCGCTTTTAGCAATATTCCAGCAACATCACGGCGGGGGACACCAGAAATGGGCTTCACACATTGTGCCCATGTGGGGATTCGAACCCGGGGTCTTCGGCGTGACGAGCCAACGCTTTAACCATTAGGCTACCCCACCGCCCCAAAACCATTGCAGAACCTGGATAAAGGCTGCAGATAACCGTGTTGCCAATAGTCATCACGTGGTAGGGTTTTAAAGAATGAACAAATTGAAACATTGAGTGCTTTACAGAAGCGCCACCACTGTGCTTGTGGGAGATGATGTTTCATCATGAACAGCATTTGCACGTTGTTGTTTGGATTAGTGTTGCGCGTGCTTATTTTCCCCATAAAACTTGCAATTGCCACATTGCTATTGTCACTTGAAATTCAAACAATGGCAGGACGTCAACTGAGCATGATATACAGAGGAAGAGCTCTTGCTTGGCTTCAAGATGGTAAAACTCAACGCAGTGTGGCTCAGAGACTTAATGTGAGTCAGAGTGTCATTGGAAGGTTATAGCAACGGTTTCGTGTCACTGGAACGCTGAATAATCGACCACGTTCTGGCAGGCCTCCATCAACAACTCCTAGAGAAGACCGATACCTGACAAACATGGTCCTTCGACAATGCAGAGTAACTGCCAGACCACTTCGTGCCCAACTGAGAGCTGCCACAGGTACCCTGACTGTCAGGAACCGACTGAGGAGGAATTATCTTCGGGCACGGCGACCAGCAGTACGACCACCACTCCTTCAGCGACACTTGATGGCAAGATATGACTGGTGTAGACGCAATGTTCGTTGGCATCGTGATCAGTGGGCGTCAGTTCTTTTCCCGTCGATTCTAGGTTTACTCTACAGTTCAATGATGGTAGAACTTGTGTGTATCGGCATCCAGGAGGGAAGTTTGCCTGACGTTAACGTCAACCAACGTTTGCCATATGGAGGCGGGGGTGTCATGGTTTGGGGTGCGTTTTCCTTTCAAAGGACACCTCTCCATGTCATTCATGATAACTTGACCGGATATCGCTGTCTACGGGAGATTATCAGACCCCTTGTTTTGCCATGTTTACAACGTGTTACCGTCGGATCCATATTCCACATGACAATGCCCGACAACACAGTGCCTGTGCTGTGACGGGCTTTCTTAAACAGAACTATGTTCAGCACATGGAATACCCGGCATATTCAGCAGATTTAGCCCCTATGGAACATGCTTGGGAGGAGTTGGGACGTCGGCTTGGTAACAACCACGCTCCTCCAAACAACCGTGCAGAACTGGCCCAGTATCTCATTGCAGAATGGCAGGCAATACCCCAAGCCTTCTTCCAACGTCTGGTGAACAGTATGAGAGGTGTACTGCTTGTCGTAATGCTCGAGTTGGTTACATCCGTTATTAGTCCAGTGTGGCGTTTCAGTTTTCACTTCTGACAGGTCACTTTGGTCTTATTGATCAGCAATAACTGACATTCCTGCTGGTTTTGTCTCCCGTTATGGTTATCATGAAAGGTTGGCTCGAGTTGCTATATGATCGCTACATTTCACTGTTATCTAGATTTGTAGTTATGGCCATTAAAAGTTTTGACCCTTAACTTGTTTCGAGTAGTATATGTTACAATCACATTTTCATTAAAACACATTTGGTTCATATACTAACGGAGTGCAGAGTAACTGTGCATAACTGCACATAACATAAAATAAAATAAAATAAATGTTACTTGAAAAGTTATATAAATAACCCTTTGCATGAAATTTGATGTCACGTATTGCGTGTGGCATATGCACTTTGTGCACAATAAACTTACTTTTTGCATGCTTTTTGGCACATGAAGTTCACACACCTGATACTGACAGTTTAAGAATAGTTGATTATTCTATAGCCTCTGAATGTTGTGAAAAACACGTTAATTTCAAACTGCGCGTACATCATGCCACGGCTTACAGAAAATCAGCATCTCCGCGACGTGGGTATGCTTGAGACTGGAATGGCCCAGAATGAATTGGCCAGACATTTTGGTGTCTATTGAATGGTGTCTATGGAGACATGTAAACATACTGGGGAGGATTTGCTTCGGGTCGGCTGGCCGTCCACCCATGACTTCGCATCAGCAAGACAACCACATTCTGCTGACCTATCTGAGGAATTGATTCCAGATGGCAAGTTTGACTGCTGGGACTGTTCATGGCCGTCCAGTTCCAGGGCTGTACATAACTGACTGAGGGAGCACAACTTTCTGCCCCTACGTCTTGCCTGGTACAGATAGCATCTACGGTACAAGAAACAAGACTGAGATGATGTTTTGTTCACTGACGAGTCGTGATTTCATCTAGACAGCTCAGATGGCAGGGCAAGGGTGTACAGAAAGGTAAGCTGAACGGTATGCTGATGTGTGTGTTGTTCAACGCGGGCAGTTTAGTGGTGACACCATTTTGGCATCACATCTCATGGTGGGACACAGCTTGTCATTGTCACTGGCAATGGGACAGGTCTGCTATACAGGAGATCATTGGGCCTTTGGGACAAGCGTTGGTTCAGACATGGAACAACATTCCCCAAGCTTCCGTCAATCGCTTATTGTCGTCTATGCGTCGTTGTTGTCAAGCATGCATTAACACCAATGGTAGACACACACCATGCTGAATTTCTGAACTGCCTTTTGACAATACATTCTTTCAAGGGCGTGTCACGATGCCAAGTGTCAAAATCATACAGATTTTGATATTATCCTGTCAACAGTTAAACAGTGATTAAGGAAAACACCACAAATCATGATGTTATCTCTTTTAGCATAAATAATGACATGACATCAAATAATTACTTTATTCCAGCAGTATATGTTACAGCATGTAAACATCACATTATTCACCTTTGTGAAGATCGTAAGGCACATTACTGGCATATAATACATAATCTATATTGCGTTAATTTAGTTCAGATAGTTATACAGTAACACACCAGTTATACACCAGTTATGCACCAGTTATACACCAGTTATACAGAAGTAGTTAGTGGAATCCTGTTTTGAAAGAACAACGAAGAGTACATATTCATTTTTCTATGCATTCTTTTACCTTACAAATTATTGTCAGCTGAAATAATACAAGCAAGTCCGGTAATTCCGCTGCAATAGCGTACTTCCCGTATCAAAGGTAAACATCATCTGCTACAACATTTAGGTTTGATTTGAAATCGGGACATTTGTACAAGGGTCTGGCTTTTAATCACGAACAGTAATTGACAGATAAATTGACAGTTTTATGAAAATTCGTTTTCTTCAAAAAATAAGAGACGTTAGTTGCCGTGTTGCGGACAATGTGCTTAGGTGCGCGGAATTACCGGGTGGAATTGTAATCCTTCATAATTGTGCTTTTAAAATGTAATATTATTTAACAAAAAACAATATAACAAACATACAATTAAAATGATAAATGAATAATCAACAAGACTAAAACACCACATCTTACCCCCTTATGATCAATATAAATGCAAAAGCCATTTAAATAAATTTCCCCGGTAAGTGCAGTGCTATCACAACCATTACAGGGAGACATGTGCCCAATCACCTTGTTGATTGCATAGACAATGCCGTACCACCAACCATCCCGTTGAGTGACAGTATACACCATGTGAAGAAAACATGGAGCAAGTAACACCTGTTACAATGGCTAACTGCTGGATCAACAAAGTAATGACTTGTTTTCTTTAAAGCCAAAAGGCCACTAACTGTCCTATCTGGTTATAATGCCACCCTGGATATAATGCCACATTTTCTCCTGGACAAATGGTGGCATTATAACCAGGGTATACTCTATATGAACTCAACGCTACAGAAACAATAGAAGTCCATGGCTGGACCAAGCTGCGTCAGGGTCAGTCTCCACATAATATCTTTTCAAACATCTCCATATTTTCAAATATTCATAGTCTGTTCAGAGATCTGGTTTATTTGGAGAGTATCACAGAATGCTAGTACGATGTTACACTTTTAGAACTCTGGTAAGAGTGACAAACTTTATTTCTTGTTTTACGGATTTCTGTCCTCAGAAAACCAAAAGGTAGCAAGGAGAAAATAAGAAAAAAATCATCAGTCAAAGTAATATTCCTTTTGAATACTGGCTGATCTGTAAAACAAGAAATAAAATTGGCCTACTTAAGAAAAGACACAGAAACCCCATATACACCACAACCATACCCAAGTTCCATTCATATAAAGATGATGAAGGCACTGATATAAGCTACCACATGCACTGTGAGATTCATATGTAGTCAGTTGCTCCAGCAAAACCATGTTTCACACTGGTCCTATAATGGTGAATGATAATATACAATAACTCTACAGTGGCTCTCTTAAATGGGTTTAAATATAACATTAATCTACATATTTATACATGATTAATTATAGGGATGCCATGATACATTAATACTTTTTTTAAGATGATACAATTATCGATACATTCAAAACTGTAGTGATATTTAGTTTTGAAAGTATCGGTTTAAATATGTTTATGTATCGTTTACATTTTGCAATTGTATCATGTTTTTTGATGTTATGAGAGTTATAAATGATTATTTTTCATGCACAAAGATGGGAAATTAGAGCTTTTTAATCTCTGAGAATAAAAAATGTTGATCTTTTCATGAACAATTATAAAATATGAACTATTAATGTTCAAAATGCAACTAAATTTACGCAATAATGCCATGAAAATAGGTATCATGACCAGGCATCAGGTGGTCCAATATCCACATAAACTTGGTGCATTGTTACTGGTAATTTTTATGCCTGAATTATATACTAGATCATGTCGATGGTAGGACTGCATGGTATTGCTGGTTTATGATACTGCAATGTGCTTGTAAAACGATACATGTTGCAATATCTTTTCTCAGAACTGGTATATTGGGTAAAACATTACAAGAAGTTTTGTCATAATCTCTACGGTTAAAGTTCAAATCTACACAGGCTTTCATTCACCTGTTGTTTCCCATTGTTATTCATTGACAAACCAACATACGTTTTGTGCTAAGAATTGTATAAAAAGGAAAGTATCTCCCCATATTCAACCTATGTTATAGATGGATGTTACCACAGCCAATTGTTGTTAGGCCTTAATATGTAAAAAAGTAGAATCTGCATGTAGAATCTGCATATACAATCAGTGCCTATTTAGCTCCCTGTATATAGCAGTATGGATACCAGTATATCAATATATTGCTATACAATTTATTTGAAAATACTCAGCCCTATATGATGGTCAACATTTGTTTCATAGATTGCAATAGATAAGATAAACACTAGTCTAAAAAAAATAGAAAAAAGCTATAGTTCAGATAGATTCATGGCAAGTTGCATAATGCATTGTTAGAATCTTATAGTCATCAATAAAAGTTATATTTCTAGGTAAATATGATGCATACCAGCATGTTTAGTTACTTAAACCACAAAAAATAAGAGACGTTAGTTGCCGTGTTGCAGACAATGTGCTTAGGTGCGCGGAATTACCGGGTGGAATTGTAATCCTTCATAATTGAGCTTTTAAAATATAATATTATTTAACAAAAAACAATATAACAAACATACAATTAAAATGATAAATGAATAATCAACAAGACTAAAACACCACATCTTACCCCCTTATGATCAATATAAATGCAAAAGCCATTTAAATAAATTTCCCCCGGTAAGTGCAGTGCTATCACAACCATTACAGGAGACATGTGCCCAATCACCTTGTTGATTGCATAGACAATGCCGTACCACCAACCATCCCGTTGAGTGACAGTATACACCATGTGAAGAAAACATGGAGCAAGTAACACCTGTTACAATGGCTAACTGCTGGATCAACAAAGTAATGACTTGTTTTCTTTAAAGCCAAAAGGCCACTAACTGTCCTATCTGGTTATAATGCCACCCTGGATATAATGCCACATTTTCTCCTGGACAAATGGTGGCATTATAACCAGGGTATACTGTTTATGAACTCAATGCTACAGAAACAATAGAAGTCCATGGCTGGACCAAGCTGCGGAAGACAAAGAGACTGACTGACTGAGTTTAGTTTTACGCCGCTTTTAGCAACATTCCAGCAATATCACGGCGGGGGACACCAGAAATGGGCTTAACACATTGTGCCCATGTGGGGAATCGAACCCGGATCCTCGGCGTGACGAGCCAACGCTTTAACCACTAGGCTACCCCACCGCCCCGAAGACAAAGAGAAGTCCACACTAACTCGGATAAGTACTCTACCGAGGGATACAAACAGTGTGTTAGGGTCAGTTTAAAAAAGTTGTTACAATACCAAAGTAAATTATCTACCTAAGTTTAAAATAGAAGGAACAAAACCCTTTCCATGTCCCCAAAATATTCTGCTAAAAGCAGAGTCGATTGTACAGTTGTTTCAGCAGTATTACCGCTGTACGATGTTGTTTGTCCAGCGATTGTCACCATGCGGTACGATGACAAATCATGTGTTTATGAATCACTTTGGAATAGTGATGATACCAGGTGTTCGCGAATAGGTGAGCGTATCCTGCCCCTCCGGTGACACCTCTCATAAACATATGCTTAGTCTAGTCAATTGTTCACCTGAAATAATTCGGGAAGGTATGGTATAAGTCAAAATAGGGAATTGCATCAGACATAAGTTTTGTCACTGATGCATCAAATTTACGAAATTTCATCCACCTGTCTACCAAAAAAGGTGAGGTGAGGTGAAATTGGGTTTAACGTCGTGCTTGAGAATACATGTATTTCGCTCATATGACGACGTGCATGCGTGTGTATGTGTATGTGCGGCTGCTTGTACTAGCCCAGACGTATGCTGATTTTATAGTCCTAGCCCACTGAGATACCATGCCGCAGTGAAGCATGAATACCCCACTCAGACACATGATACTGACTCCGAGCCGACCAGTCCTTGTAACCATTAATGCCGAGAGCCAGGCAGGGACCAACAAGTACCATATTTTAACATCTTTTGGTATGATGCGGTCGGGGATCGAACCCGCGACCTTCCGCTCTCCGGGTGGACGCTCTAACCACTACACCACAGAGGGGGTCTGTCTACCATAAAACCTCTTGAAAACTTTACTGAGGCTTTGAATGTTCTAACGTTGATCAAACAACTTCTGGGCAAGAGTAGAATGACGCTCTTTGAAATCCTTATAAAAGAGCACGCTGGATTGTACCTCAAAAGTTGTGAAATGTAAACACCAAAGGCTGGAGCTGTTGAAATATTGCTCGACATGAAAGGGAAGTTGACTATTGGAAAGTTGAAATCATCCCTTTTGTCATACGTCTTGTGGAGAGTTTTCTTGTCACTCTGAATCTTTATACATACTTAAAATATACAACATTTA